CGCTTACAAGATCATCTATCAATGCTACAAATTGATCATTAGGTGAGTATGCCGCACCAAGCAAGTCCACAATGGACGACGACAGAGTCGTGACATGAGCAAGCTCATATTGAGGTCTGCGAGACAACGTATCAGCCAAAGCATTTTGATTGCCCGGCTCGAACTTCAACTCGAAAATGTTTCAGCAAGATTAAAAACAGCGGTCCAAACATTGTGAAAGTTGAGGCGACTGTGTCGCAGTGCGTAACGACTCACGATCTGTGAAAATCACGAAAGGCTTTGTTCCAAGTAGATGGACTATGAACTTCACAAAAGTCTATTTAATTGCGAGTAACTCTTTTTCGTAAACTGGGTATTTCTTCTCTACAGCCTTTAGCTAACGAGATTAGAAAAAATGACACGCTTATACGCATCGTCAACTGTCTGCAAAAATGCACAACCAATAGCTGACGATATTAGAAAATATGACACGCTTATACGCATCGTCAACTGTCTGCAAAAATGCACAACCAATAGCAAGATCAGACGCGTCACAGACGACGCTGAATAGCCGCTCAGGGTCAGGTAAAGCCACCATTGTAGCATGAAGGAGACTGTCCTTTATAGCTTCAAAATCTTCAGCATAGTCTGCGTCCCAACAACAAACTGCATCCTTTTTATAGGTAAAGGTTTATTGCCATGCCATGTCAGCGTAGTTTGCACTGTACTTGTGCGATTAATTTGCAAGGCCGAAGTATTTACGCAAGTCCTTTTGGTCCGACGAAATCGACCAGTATACAATTGACATTACCTTAGCGGGATTCACTCTTAGGCCAATACTTTTATTAAATCACCCTGGAAAGGGAATTAATTGTGCACCAAAATTGCATTTTGATGCATTTGCATATAACTTGTTTGTGCGCATGTACTTGAGCACTACTTATAAACCTTCAATTTTATTTTTAACATCTGACCTACCATGGTATGCACGAATATGGACAATCATGTCGTCAAATAGCTTTGTACATATCCTCGGTTGGGTCGAAAAAAAATGGGGCACAGGACGATTGAATGTAGCCGGGGCATTAGACACCCCTTGAGGCATGACACGTCACTCTTATACCATACCGCTTTGTTAACTACCCGCTGTGAGTGGAATATCGCTCGCTCGCATGAGCAATCGATAGCACCCATCAACCAAGTCGAGTGCACTGAGCATGGTTTGTCCTACCATAGCGTTCTGAAGAACACCCTACCAAGAAATAGGTGTCTGTGCCAGTATAGTGGCTGAATTAAGCTTTTTGTAAGCACGCACAATGCGCCACTTGCCATATGGCTTTTTGACACAAATGTTGGTGTCGAGTGAGGAGCCTTGCTCTCACGAACCATGGCAGCCGCGTGCTTTGCACATAAGAACACGTCAACGACGTCACACTGCTCATTTGAAGGGATTATTGCCGAGTTACACAGTGTTTGAATACAGGAACTAGGTCAATTTCATGACGTACGCCTCGATCAGACGCAGAGTGGAAGGTGGATCGTGACACGCCACATCCAGAAAATTATTACCTAAAGGATACAAATGTTTCAAGATTCTTTTAAGATTCGATGACCCACTTCGAGAACTCATAACAGGCTTTGTGTCTTCCAAAACAGCTTTATCAAGATATAAAGACGATTTCAGCTCACTATCTGATAAAGTGACCACCACTTCAAATAAGTCACTTGAATTGTAAATCAAGCTAAACTCATCGACAGACATTTTATCTAGCTACAAAGATAATTCAGTGAGGGTAGAGTCTCAAGACTCACTGACCCATCTACGTCACTGGTCATTCCAAAAACGAGTGCGTACAGCTGCTCGGTAGTGTCACTTAGTGACGTAAAGACGCATTGCGTTGCATAACAGCAAGCTGGCGCCGCTGTCGTCTCTGTGACGAGACTAACATCTCAAAGAGACTGGATTTTTTTTCGTTTCCAAGGTTGACATCATCATCATCCTTAACTTGATGTTTACAAGAGCCGGTGTCATAACCGACACCCGGTAAATCACTGTTCCCAATATTTAACATGCCCATCAACCTTGAGTTGCTCATTCTCAGAGCCTATGTCATTACCGCCATCCGGGACTGTACCGCCCGAAGTTGACGAACTGCGTAAACATTGTTTTGCCCAATATTAGGGCCGATTTTATTACCTTCATCTGGAACTACGCTGTACTTAAGACGACGAACTATGTTACCTTAAATTTATTTACATTAGATCCGATGTCATAAACGAAATCTAATGATGAGTCACTTCTAGTGATATCACCGCCCAGTGGGTACTTCCGTGCCACTCCTCACTCCTCAAATGGGCGTCGCCCTTATTGACTTAGTTTTTTACCAATTTCTTGGCTGATATTCAGTGTGTCGCATTCACGGCCAACATCACTTAGTGGGCACTTACGTGTCACTCCACTCTCATCAGATGGTTATAACCCATGATGACTTGGCTTTAGGCCAACAACGCATTCAGCGTTCAGTGATTCGTTATTACAACGATCATCACTCGACGGAGTACGTGGGGTTTCACTGATTGTAAACGAGCTTGGCTTGTAACTAATGTTTCTTACATCGTCGAACTCAATATGTTCCGCCATGTCACTGTCCAGCACACTGACTTTCTAAGTCCGTGGCTCGCTCCAATAGCGTTTCTGTTTCCTAGCAGAGATGAGCGCATGACTCTCCAAAGCTCCACTAGGCACAGTGCGCTTTGCACCTAAGATCTTTGAACTCTAATCAATCCACGGCTCATGGCCTTCCAGCCAAGCCATAACGAGAATAAGATCAAACCTTTCATCCAAGTCACGGACTAGACAGCGTTCACTACTGTCAAAGTCCAAAAGCTTAACGTTTAAGTTCACAAGAACTTTAGGCACAGTGAATAATGAACCTGTCGCCAAGCGAACTGTGATAGTCTCATTCTTTTGCACTATCAGCGCCCCAGCATACTGCTGACTTCCTTCCTTCCATGGAACAACGTCGGACATAATTTCCTGACGCCCCGGAGTCGACCAATATCGACCATGGCTTATCAAAGACCTTTACTATTGCTTTTGCAGCAAACAAGCCTGGCTTATACGCATGCTACGTGACATTTCTCACGAAGCCACATGGGGCTAGGCTCTGTTCTATATCCTCTCTTAAAGGTACAACAGAGCCTAAGACCCTAAATCTTCCCCAGCAAGGCGCCCCGCGCCTACTGGGACTCGACGTTTTCCCGCGCTGTACCGACTCGTCGGTTAGCGACGGCATGTCGTCTTAAATCAGCCTGTCTGGTATTTCTCAAAGGACAATTGGGGCGAAGATGTTAATATGCTTCCGCACGTAAAACATCTACGGATGTTCGAACGTTGCTCGACAGCGTAGAGCTCAGCTTATTCGTCTCTCTCGGCGCGATCAAGGTCCATGGGTTCTGCCCTAGCCCTGAGATGAGCATTGCCTGACGAGCTCGATTGAAACCCATGAGTCCCATAACGGGCAGATTTTTATAGTTAACTCTGCATTTAACGCTATGTGCGCTGCACCCTCAAATGTCTATGGTTGAGCACGGAACACTTCAGTCCTTGCAACACCAGTGCGAAGACCCCCGTGAAAACGGTTACTAAAACCGTCTCAGGTGAAGGGTTTAACTGCATAGCAGCAATGACGGTTCGCAACTCCTGGAAATTATCGACTAAGTCCTTTTTACCCTGGCGGGTTGACAGGAAGCGTGATCGCACGCGATATGCCTGGATAGGCAGCGAAAGCATCCGAGATAGCCGCCGTTTAAGAATATCCCAGGTGGGAAAAGCCCATTCAATCGAGGTGCCAGAAGTGAAGGCTTACTCTCTGGCTTAACAACCTAACGTTGATAGGGCATGGCCCACCTTTTGCCTCTCCGACCGCAGCAGGGCCGAAGATGGCACAGATGGCAACCTCCACCCCGCGAACCCAAAAAATGAGATTTTCTCCTCCTTTCCCCTCGAAATTATTGACACTTAAGACTCGAGGGCGAGTCCTTGACTCAGTGTCCAATATTGGAACATATTAAGTGGTCATGGCAGATGCCAAAAAATGGTCATGGACCTGTCCGATCAACGTGGACATAAAGTTCGAGAAGGCCTCGAGACGTGCAAGAAGTACGTCCGTACCTTGCGACACTGTAAGATCCATTTGCTAGTGCCCGATCAACGCCTTAAGATTTTCAAGTGTGATCTGCTAGGCCTCAGAGAGATTCACATCCGCTACCATCCTCGCAGAGATTTCAGTCTGTGAAGACTCAGGTGTAGATTGACTAAAAGTGCTACCAAGTGTAGTGGAGAAACCTAGCGCTCCTCAACAGACGAATTCTTAGACATAAAGAGTTGCTTGGTTATAAAAAATGACAACGATGTACAGTCGTTTGACCGTGCAAGCTTGACTATCCCGGTTTTAAAGAGATTGCGATACACAGAATCACACACTTATTTATTCTCTACTAGTTAAACAAAAAATAGGTGTCTTCACAAGTCTAATACTTTTAACAACACACTACGCCTTTACTAGGCACTTGTTGTAACGAGGTTGCCCGTTACATGATATTGACATCAAACGGTGTCAATGGAGATGCTCTCGAGCATGACAATATCCTACCAACATTATCCGAGATGGATATAATTGCAGGAATACCATCCCCTTTTAGATAATCTTCATGCGCTGCTCCAAGTTGGTCGATAAAAGACATACCAACCATAGATTGCCAACAATCGCAGCTAGACGCGCGCAATGAGTGGTGAGCAGGTTGTCGTCATTCGACGACGTAGTTTGATATAGTTATATAAAGATTAAAGCTATATTGATCGCTTAACTATATTGAATACAGTTCTCTTTTTACCCTTTACTTCAACGAGCTGTTTGAGTAGAATAGCTTCCTCTGCACGTACTTGTGTACGTAAAGATCGTGGCACCCAGACAAAGGGTGCCCCGTTTCACCTGTTAGCACTTCGTAGTCCGTCCAACATGAACATGTTGGATGTAGAAGACGACAGCTTTCACGTCACGCGTGAAGGCTACTCCCATCTGAGTGACTCAGAATGGGAGGTAGTCGGCCGCTCGCGTGTGCTCATGGGCGAACTCGCCACCAGTGGCTTGTTGGAGTCTTTAAGCAGAGACCAGCGGCATGCTGATATCAACAAGTTCCTACAAGGTAAGCTTGCCGTCAAAAACCAGAAGCTCGCCTAAATGCAACAGCTAGGCTCTCATCAGTCGATGGGCGGGCCGACGCACACGCGTCGACCCAAAACTTTAAACATTGATATCTCAATGTACAAAGGAACCGATGAATATTCCCGTTTGAGATGGTTCGTCGAGTTAGACGAAGCCATCATGGCCCGTCACATCGAGGGAGACGAGATGCAAGTCACCTTCGCCCTGTCAAATTTGATGGGACGAGCAAAGACTTGGGCCTTAGGGCTCAAGTTTCACGACCCAAACGTGTTTGAGTCATTTAAGATCTTGAAGTCTCGGCTTAAAGAGACGTTTAAGTCACCAAGAGACGAGTATAGAGCACGCTCTGCACTCTCGGGGCTAAAGCAAGGTAAGCGTGACGTGCACGCTTACGCACAACACGAACGCTACCTTGCGAGTAGCGTTACGGTAAATCCTGTCGATGAGCACACGTTTATCAACGTGTTCATCTACGGTCTTGTGGATGGGCCGGTGAAGACCTACATGTTCCGAGAGGACTTCCATACGCTGGAAAAGGCGATAGCGTATGCGGAACAAGAAGACTTTAGCCTGAGACAGCCTCAGGCTAACTCGTCAAACTATCGTCCGACAAGACGAAAGGAGAAAGGAGGTTCCGAACCAATGGACCTCTGTTATATCGAGAGTTTCCTCCAACGAGGATGACGGTGTGCCTTGCTTCAGGCGCATACGTAACAGTGAACGACAGTGTAGTGGAAACCCACTACACGCTAGCAGGAAATCAGTACGATAATGACTTCATCGTACTAGATTTAAATGACAAATTTGATGTCATCCTCGGTCTGCCATGGCTTAGAAAACACCAGCCATGGGTTAGCTGGTAGCATCGGTCCGTGAAGATGCCTCCCGTTTGTTCATCAGATGACCATCTGATGAACATCTTGGAGCGTCCACAAGCGTGTGGATGTACTACGAGTGAGTGCGATGGCGTCAATGTTGTACGGTCGTTAGTACGATTGCACAAGATCACAGTGTAGAAGGCCACTACACTGTGGAACCAGCTTCCGGCACCTGTGCAGGGAAAAAGGCTGCGCCGAAGGTTCACCACTCGAAGATATCAAGTGGACCGGAACAAGGATGCACAGTAAGAAGGGTGCATCCGAGAAGAGAGACTAGTGTTGTTCAGGATGGACATCACGTTAAAGCGAGATCGACTACCAGAGAGTCGATCGACGAGGACGTGACTGTGATAGTAAACCCACAATAAGTACACGTAATGGAAGAAAATTTTAGATTTCCTAAGAATCATAACTCCCGAGAAAGTTATGTTGAGGGTGTAGATCCCCAACCACCTGCGGATATGTTTTCCCAGGAAATCACCGAGACAGTGAATGTCTTGGCGAATGACGGATCAAGTCAAGGCGCTTATACACTTGATCTGGCTACAGCCCCGAATTCAGCTTCGGAGGTAGTCAAGTTGCCAACGCTAGAATCTAAAAAAATCTTGCAAGATCTGCGTAGTGACAAGATCAAGCGAATCTGCGTACTTGTCACAGAGGACGAGTACGTCGATAATTTTCGGTCGGAACAAGTGTTTGCTGAGAACGAACGGGTTCTCAGTAGTTCATCTATGGACGAGAGTGTCCTCGATGAGAAGACCCGAACTGAGCGATACACGTCTCAATCTTGGGAGTATTTGAAGACAAATCCTTTGTATAAGGATTTGTTCCAGTTTAGGGATGTTTTCCTGAATCCACGCCATGCGGGCTGCCTAAGGACAAAGACACTCGGCATGAGATCGAACTGAAACCTGGTTCGAGGGGCTGTGTCATGAAGCAGTGGCCACTGCCTCGTGAACAGGTAACAGCGATAGACAATTTCTTTGCCGATCGTTCAGCGGCTGGTCATGTGAGGGAATCAACATCGCCACACATCTCTCCGACCTTTTGTGTGCGTCAAAGAACACAGGAGGGTGGCAGATAGTGCACGCGTTCAACAAATTTAACGCTGCAACGGTTTACCGGCTCAGACGCCGATCCCAAGGAAGGACGTTATCACAGATGGTATGGCAAAAAGTACCATCTTTTCGTCCATGGATCTGATGGATGAATTCTATTAGATTCCCATGCGTGAACGGGACATCCCGTACACAGCAGTGAGCACCCCTAGTGGTATTCTCTGGGAGTGGCTAGTGATGCCACAGGGGCTAAGTAACGCCCCTGCAACTTTCAACAGATGTGTTACGAATCTGTTGCGACCGGTGCGCAATTTCGAACCGAGCTACTTCGACGATATCTTCGTCCATAGCCGGGCTATGGATGGAAAGACGGACGTGGAGGTTCATTGAGTCAACATCCGGAAAAATCTTACACTAATGCGAGAGTGTAAGTTGCTCGCGAACCTCAAGAAGTGTATATCCGCAGCGAACCAAAAACCCCTTGTTGGCTGCATTGGGGGTAAAAACGACGTAAGACCTGATTGTAACAAGGTCAAGGCGATTAGCGACTGGCCTATGCCAGTCGACGTCAAGGTACTTCGAAATTTCCTTGGCTTAGCGGCGTACCTGCACAAATACTCTTGCAACTACGCCGAAACGATCGTACATCTCTCTCGTCAGCTAAAGAAAAACGAGAGGTGGTCATGGAGCGCTGAGTGTAAGCACTCCTTCGAAGTGTCAAGAAAAGCTTGGTACAATCACCTGTGTTGGCGATTACAGACCAGAATAGACCATTCCATGTGGTCTGTGACGCCAGCGATTAATCAATCGGCTGCGCGGTAATGCAGTACGACTCAGACGGCGTTGAGCGCGTCGTCTATTATCAATCGCGTCAGCTGCAAGCAGCTGAGCGTAACCACTTGGTGCATGACAAGGAACTCCTTGTTATCAAATATGCACTGGCTAAGTTTCAGGTATATCTCTAAGGAGATAGGCCCTTTATCGTTTATACCGACCATGCGTCATTACGCACGGCCGTAAACAATCTACATCTCTCGCAACGAATGGCGAGGTGGCTGCATTTCTTCGCGGAGTACACCTTCTTCGTCGAGTATGAACCCGGACGACTTAATGTCGTCGCTGATGATCTTTCGCGTCGGCCCGATTTCTAGCTAAATACTCAACACAACAGTAGGGGTGATCCCACTGTAGCGACACTAACATTGAGTGTTCCGTCGTCGAATCTGCTCGACGACGTGCAAAAATCATACGCCGAAGATGATTCTCTTCTGCGTTTGATGGATTACGTATCCAATCCATGCAGTCAAGCTTTGAAAAGCTTGTCGTCTCAATAACGCTCTTTAACCGAACGGTATTTAGTTCTTAATGGAATGCTGAACTATACAGCAGTCAATGGCGACACACCTCGTCTCGTCGTTCCCGCTCATGAAGACCTGCGATTGCGCATCATGTATTAGTGTCACGATGCCCCAACAAGTGGGCGTCGCGGTAGGGAAAAGACTTACCTCACGGTGAGTTGTGACTTCTACTGGACCCGCCAGTATGAGTTTGTGCACAAATGCATTCGCTCTTGCGAAGTTTGTCAACGGGTGAAGCCTAGTCCTTTATCCCGCGCACCCTTACAGCCTCTCCCGATTCCGGCAGAGTGTTGGAAGTCCGTGTCGATGGACTTCGTCTTCGGGTTTTCAAAGAAGTTCACATGAATACTGGTATTCTTGTGTTCGTTGATAGGTTCAGAAAGATGGTACATCTTGTTGCTGTACCGGATTCGATCACAGCCCAGGGCTATGCGCGCGTCTTCATCGATGCTATCTTCCGACTTCACGGGCTACGCCGTGAACTCGTGTCCGATAGGGACCCCCGCTTCACAGCGGAGTTCTGGCAATTCGTGTTCCGTTCACTTGGAACACGTTTGAAGATGTCGACTTCTGACCATCCAGAAACAGATGGTCAGACGGAACGCGTCAACCGCGTCCTCGAAGGGATACTTTGAGGGTATGTCCACAAGCTTACGAGTAGGAGTGAGTTCTTGCCGATGGCGGAATTCGCCATCAACAACTCGGTGCATGCGTCGACAACGCATATACCAGTCTTCGTGAATGGACTACGCCATCCACGTTTACCCGCCTACTTAAAGTGTGACTCTAGTTTAAAGGGGGTAGACCCGCTCGAACAAAAATCGATCTGGTTCTTGCTCATCACCCGTCGACAATCGTGTCGACGTGATGAATGCCGATGCCGATGCGATCGACATCGATGATGATTATGACGGCGATGCTGGTATATTCAGCATCGCCAATGACTGTCAAAGTGAGGACGATGACACCCTCACTGGTGAAGACAACGTTCTTTCAGCAGCGCACACGAAGCGCACTGCTGTTAACAAGGATGAATCAGCAAAGAAATTTCTGCTGACATGCGAAGCGGTTATACGCTTCGTTCAAGACTCTATTGCAGATGCACTAGACATACAGAAACAAAACGCAGACAAGAATGGAAGAGCAAATGTTCTTTCAGTTGATAAAGGAGATTTAATTTTACTGTCTACAGTGAATCTACCAAAACATGCAGTGACGAACGTGGGCAGCATTAAATTACTGCCCAAGTTCATCGGTCCATTTCGTGTGTTGCGCTGAATGGGCAACACATGCACGATTGAACTGCACCTTAAGATGCGTACGCATCCTACGTTTTACGTTGGACGTCTCCGCCCGTACTATCAGTACGAGCCCGTTTCAAGATGCGAAGTACACCTCCGCGTTCGAGAGCCAAAACCACCTTCGAGTGGTCCCGTTTCAACGAGCTTGTCTGGGAGGCTAGAGAAGCGACCTGCTCACGCAGTTAAGCGATGTCTTGACGAGCTGCAACCAGCTCGTCACGAAGAGAACGAGTAAAACGTTCATTTCTCAGGTTGCGCGAGCGCAAACGCGGCAAAATCATCGAAAGATCGTGCGCTAAGTAATTGTAGTCATACCTTTTAAGATCCTGAAGATCATAACGCCGAGTCCGTTCATGATCCAGGTCATCTTGCAACTGTTCCGTTACAAGCTTCAATTCTTGAAAATCGAGCTGATCCGGCCCTCGAGCCGGATCAGGGATCCTGCCGCCACCACATCCTTTGGTGGACTCAAGCGGTATTCAATGCTTTCTAGTGGAGCGCGTTCAAAACCACTGGACGTGAATGGAGTCCGGACGAGTTACCTCGTCCGCTGGCGTGGATACCCATCGGCGTGGGTCAACTGGGTGCCTCGCGCCCAGCTTATCGCTGATGTCCTTGGTCTCGTCGAGCAGTACGACGAGACCCACCCGCTGCGTTTGAAAAAGGGCCGTCGAAAAACGACCTCACGAACGCGAGTACAGGGATTCCAAATTGTCAATCCCTTCGGCCATCTCGGAAGAAATGCTCTCCCTCCCGTAGGGATCGTTAGGGAGAAAGGCCTCCCTAGGGGAACGGTTCGAGTTGTCCAGGCTACCTGGACAAGAATCACCCTTCGAGAGACAGGGTGATCCTGCTTCTCTTGACAGCCGGTCCAACTTGTATCGCACCCCGACTGGATTACGCTTCTCACACCTGATGCGAGCTGCATCAAATTTACCGAGCCAGGCCTCACGGACAATGCATTCAAAGTTATGGATGAGGGCATTCCATCCTTTCACCAAGGCTTTTCCGTCTCGAACACGGTTGTCATTGTACCACCGATGCTTGAAAACGCATCGGTGAAGAACTCTTCCTCAGCACGGATAGTATCCGTGCTGGAATCAGATGGATAAATCTTCCTGCAATCGAACAACGGGATTCGACCCCGTTCAGTTGTCATGCCGGCCACTCGTTCCAACTCTATAGATGACGGCATTAAAGGAGACTCCACTTGAGGTGCGTGGCGCAGGACGTTTCGGTCCATGGCCTCTTGATTGGTGTCAGCACGAGCACCGACACCAGTGATATCCCGATCCCTCGAGTTACTTCGCTCGTGGTGATATTATAGGTGCATCAACACCATCACCACACGTCCTATCGTTAGATGAACTTGCGTGAGGTGGAGATTACTCGGGAGAATCGCTCGATCCAAAGATCTCAGAAGCGATACCGCCACGTTGATCAGAGCCAGCCAACCTGGCTCTAGCAGTGTCCGCCTCGGGTGACCCGGAGGCGAGAGGTGTCGCCTTCGCTTCGGATACATCATCCGACTCGCCAAAACAGATGAGATCTATTTCATGCTTATCTTGATTACGACTCGTGGTACCCGCTGCAGCCGCAGCGGATGTAACTGTCGCACGTGGTGACTTACCACGTGGACTGTTTACAACAGGCACCGCCTGTCGCTGAATCGAATCAGCAGGCAAAGGATCACGTGCTGCTGAAGCAAGCGATTAAATCTCTTCGCCTTCACATCGCATGGAATTTGATACCATGCGATAAATTGGTGAATGAGTAAGAACTTGACCAGCAAGTGCCCCCCTTTGTAAATTTAATTAACGTTTGTCACCCTGTCCCGATGAGTTTAATCAAAAGAACGGGTAATTGATAGTTAAGGGGGGGATGCAACAGGGTAGCCCGTTACATGATATTGACATCAAAGGTGTCAATGGAGATGCTCTCGAGCATGACAATATCCTACCAACATTATCCGAGATGGATATAATTGCAGGAATACCATCCCCTTTTAGATAATCTTCATGCGCTGCTCCAAGTTGGTCGATAAAAGACATACCAACCATAGATTGCCAACAATCGCAGCTAGACGCGCGCAATGAGTGGTGAGCAGGTTGTCGTCATTCGACGACGTAGTTTGATATAGTTATATAAAGATTAAAGCTATATTGATCGCTTAACTATATGAATACAGTTCTCTTTTTACCCTTTACTTCAACGAGCTGTTTGAGTAGAATAGCTTCCTCTGCACGTACTGTGTACGTGAAGTTTCGTGGTATTCCAAACAAAGGGTCCCTGTTACACTTGTGTCCAACGATTCAATACGGGAATTGAACTTTATTTTTTCTTTAATCACGGTATTGAAACCATCAAAGCTTCTTTGACTGAGTTGTACATTGCATCCTACGACAGTAGAATTATCCGTCTTCCTTACCCGACAAGGTGCGGAATTACCGTAAGTGTGTGGTAGCAATACAGTACCACTTAGATCCACTAATATTTACTTGATGTGTACCCAGAACATGACCGGTCTAAAAGCTGCCGTGTAACCCCGTTAAAATTTGAATCTGAAATCAGTAAGAATCATCCCGAGTCTGCGTGTTTGTTGTTGCTGCAAAAAGAAAACGGCGATGGCCCCCGGATGACGACGTGTCCCCGACGACGTCTCGCGAAGCTCTGAAAGAACAAACAGTAGACTATGAACGAGCTACCAACATGAAGTCAATGATGTGGCAAAACTGGAGTCATGGACGGAGATGATGGACGGAGCTGTTGGACGCATCTGGTGTAACGGGGCACCCTGAAGCTTGTACTGATAACAGTACAAGCTACCTTTTATGACGACAGAATAAGGCGGTGCCTCGTAACTTCACGTGCACTGGTACGTGCTGAGGAAGACGGTAAGAAGAAGCGAGTACTCGGTTAGAGTAAAAAGTAGAACTGTATTTATAATAGTTAATGCCCGTTAATAAATCACTGTTCATCCTCATCTAACTATGTCTAAATACAAATGTGCATATCAACTATCTGCTCACCACTCATTGCGTGCGTCTGTCGTGGCGCGTCTTCGTTGGTTAAAATAATGGCCTGTATCAACCAATCAGGAACTACTCGTAAGTGCTGCAGAATATTGTCCTTATGACAATATTCTGAGAATATCACTCTTATAGTAATATTCTCCTATCAATTTCTTATAAATTGTTATGTAACGATTCACCCCGTTACATCACCCCCCCTTAACTATCATTCACTTGAGTGACTGATTGACTGAATGGATTCTCGTCCCAAATCTTATGGGGCTGGGTTTGCACTTGTTGGTCCGAGTCCACTTTCCAACATTTCATCGCATGGTTAACAAGCCCATGCGATGCGCGAGCAAGGCCGCCGAGAGCGCGTCCGCACGTCTCTGTGCGGACACCGAAGCAGAAATTACAGCAACTGATGTGTCATCGGTTGCTGAAGCGACTCAGCCTGTGTCACCTGGTGATGCAGGCGCTAGTCATGAAGACACTCATGTCTTCACAGAGTATGAGCTCGGTGTCTCATACTCTCCTGATACGGAAGACGGATCCGTATCGACGGCGATTGAATCCAAGCCGCCTGCCAAGCGTGGCATGGATGATGCTATGCGTCGTAGCATCTTTATTTCATCTGATGAATCAGATGAACCATCGCCGAAGCGAAGGCGCTCGAGGTCGCGAGACTCGGTCGCTAGCAGTGGTGCCGGTTCTCCTATTGACACCACTTCCCAGCGAGGTGCCAGTACTTCTGTCGGCACGTCGCAGGAAGAGCGGGACCGCAATGTGTTGCGTCTCGCTCCTGAAAAGAAGGCATGGATGCCTCCTAAATCAGTCATGGATCACTTGTCGGCGACGACGAGTGATCGTTATCGAACACGATTGTTCGATTCGTCAAGGATCCATCACCTTGACCCCAGTGCGAAAAGCTATCGCGCTGAACATGAATTCTTCATCGATGCTTTCTTTAAGCATCGATGGTACAGTGGGAATCACAAATGTGATGGTCCCTCACTGCTTCAAGCGTAGAACGCTTACATCCATAACCTCGAGGATGTAGGTCGTGACGCTTGGAACGACAAACTTATCAGAGCTCGTGATAAGTTTAAAAAGTGAACCCCGACAGGTGCACGCTACAAGCTGCATCGTCTGTCTAATGAGGGTGGGTTACCCTGTCTCTCCTGGGGAGACTCGTGCCCATGTTGTGTAAACAACTCAGCGCGCGCACCTAAGGAGGCTTACCTCCCTAATAGCCCGTGGTGGCGCGTACGTGTCTCTACTGAGATGTACGAAGGGATTGACAACCTGAAATCCCTTTACGACCGTGCCGGGAAGACTTTCTCCGGCGGTCCTTCTGCGGCACAGGATGTGCCGCGTCGTACTGCTCGACCAGACCCAGTACGTCAATCATCAGCTGGAGCGGGGCTCCCAAGTATCCCAGGACGGGGGATAACCGCGCCACCGGACGAGATAACTCGTCCGACGTCCGTTCACATCGCAGTGGTTTAGCAGCTGCTCAACCAGATAGCGCTGGCCACCGCGAGAGTCCTCCAATGGAGGTAGAGCAGAAGAGAAAACGCTCTCCAAACTATCGTGGGGGAGCGTGTGTTCCCAAAAGCCTCTTTGATCGCGTAACTCTTGCGTTACGCGGCGACCTCGAGCATGAGCAGGACAGGCGTCTTCAACTGGCGGACACTGTCTTGAAGCATCAAGTTGAGTTTGTTTTTGCTCAGCTTGAGAACGAGAGAGCTTTATCATCTCTGCGTGACGAGCTAAGGGTAGCTCGTGTGGATGTCGACCGGTATCGGGCTGAGATAAATGCTCTTTAGACCCTTGTCGATATCCACCATCAGAAGCACAAGGCCCTCTGTGAGATGCTTGAGCGCAAGGGCGTTCTTCATCGGAAGGAGCAGCGTACTGATGGTACGGCTTAAGCCGACCAACGTTAAACGTGGGATGCGTTCGCATCTTACGTGGCAGTTCGACCGTGTACGCGTTGCCTAGGCGATACAATACACGAAATGGACCGATGTACCTGGGTAGAAGTTTACTACTACCCAAGTTAGTCACTACATGCTTTGGTAGATTAACCGTAGACGGTAGGACTAAGTCACCGTTATTAAATAAAAGAGTGTTTGCCCTTCCATTCTTGTCTGCGTTTTGCTTCTGCTTATCCACCGCTTTGGCGATGTAGTCTTGCACAAAACGGACTACCGTTTCACTAGCCAGTATGAATTGATCTGATGACTTGTTAGCTTCAGTGCGCTGTGAGTGCACTGCAGCAACATCACTCTTTTCTTCAGTGAGGGCTTCCGCACTCTCACTGGCATCATATTCTTCGATATCGATGCTATCGGTATCGGCATCAAACGCAATGAACTCATCGTCAGAGCTTTATGAGCGTGAACCAACTCGGTTTTTGTTCGCGCGAGTCTCTCCCTCCCTTAAACCAAAGTTATACTCAAATAAGGTGGGTACACGCGGATGGCGCAAGCCAATCACGTAAAACGGTGTATGTGTCGTGGACGCATGCACCGAGTTGTTAATGGCAAACTCTACCATTGGCAAAAACTCACTCCAACTCTTAAAGGAGTGTACGTATCCTCGAAGTATCTCTTCGAGGACACGATTGGCACGTTCCGTCTGACCATCTGACTCTGGATGATCAGATGTAGACATCTTCAAGCGCGTTCCGAGTGATTTGAACACGGAACGCCAGAAATCAGCAGTGAATCATGGATCTCTGTCTGATACGAGTTCACGGGGCAACCCATGAAGTCGGAAGATGGTGTCAATAAAGACACAAGCACAGCCACTTGCTGTGATTGACTCTGGTATAGCCACAAGGTGTACCATTTTGCTGTAATTGTCAACAAATACGAGAATACCCGTGTTCCCGCGTGCGTCTTTGGGTAACCCGAAGACGAAATCCATTGAGATGGATTCCCAGCATTCAGCCGGAACCGGTAGAGGCTGTAAAGGTGCACGCAGTGAAGGACTTGACTTCACTCGTTGACAGACTTCGCATGCGCGAACATACTTTCGCACAAACTGATACTGGCGGGGCCAGTAAAAGTCTCGACTTACCGTGAGATATGTTTTCTCTCGGCCACGATGTCCTCCTATAGGAGCATCGTGATACTCGAACATGATCCGCAAACGCAGATCAGTATCATCTGGAATGACAACACGTGGTGTGTCACCAGAAACGGCTGTATAATACAGTACACCGTTACGAGTAGTGTATCGATCTGATGCAGATCGATACGCAGACGACAATCGTTTCAACGATTCTCGGGATGGCTGTGAGAGATGTGTCAACAGCTTCACAATATCACCATCTTGGGCATATACCCGCCTCACATCATCATACAACGTTGTAGATGGGACTGAGGACGTCATAACCGCAACAGTGACTGTCTCACTGTTGACTTTCACGACTGTTTCAAAGTAGGGAAGACGTGAGAGTGCATCAGCGACGACATTAAGTCGTCCTAGTTTGTACTCAACCGTAAAGTTGTATTCTGCAAAGAATGACAACCACCGCGCCATTCGTTGTGAAAGGTGCGGACTGTTTACTGCCGTGCGTAACGACGCATGGTCAGTGTAAACAATGAAGGGTCTATCTCCTAATAGATAGACTCTGAACTTCGCGAGTGCATACTTCATGACAAGGAGTTCCTTTTCATGCACTGGATATTTCCGCTCAGCTGGTTGCAGCTGAAGCGACTGATAGCAGACGACGCGTTCAACGCCTTCAATATCGTACTGCATTAATGCACAGCCGATTGCGAAATCGCTGGCATCACAGACCACATGAAATGGCCTGTCCTGATCGGCTATTGCTAGGACTGGGGATTGTATCAAGCTCTGCTTGATACCATCAAAGGAGCGCTGACATTCAGCATTCCAAAACCACCTCTCGTTCTTTTTCAACAAACGAGAGAGGTGCACATTCATCTCGGCGTAATTGCGTGAATACTTATGCAAATACGCCGCTCGCCCAAGGAATTTTCGAAGACCTTTGACATCAACCGGCACAGGCCAGTCGGTGATTGCCTTGATCTTTTCGGGATCAGGACGTACACCGTTCTTACCAACGATGCACCCAAGAAGTGGTATTTCGTTTGCTGCAAATATACACTTCTTGAGGTTTGCATACAATTGATGCTTTCGCATAATTGTAAGAACCTGTCGGACGTGGTACCTGTGAACATCAACGTCCGACTTTCCATCCATAGCCCGACTATGGATGAATACGTCATCGAAATAACTCGGCGCGAATTCTCGTACTGGTCTCAACAGATGTGATACACATCTGTTGAACGTGGCAGGGGCATTACTAGCCATTCCCAGAGCATGCCGCTAGGCGTGCTAACTGCGGTATAGGGTATATCCCGTTCTCACATAAGGATTTGATAGAAGCCATCCATCAAATCCATGGACGAAAAGATGGTACTCTTTGACATACCATCAATGATTACGTCCTTCCTTGGTATCGGCGTCTGAGCCAGTACCGTTGCAGCATTCTACTTATTAAATGCATGCACAAATCCGCCACCCTCCTGTTGCTTTTCGCACACAGAAGGTCGGAGAGCTATGTGGGGAATTTGATCCCCTCACATGGCCCGCAGCTAAACGATCGGCAAAGAACTTGTTCACGAGGCAGTGGCCACTGCTTCATGACGCAGTACTTCGAGCCTGGTTTAAGCTCGACCTCGTGTCGAGTACCTTTATCCTTCGGCAACTCGCACGGAACAGTTTCAGGGAATACATCCTTGAATTCAACCAAATCTTCATAGAGAGGATTTGTCTTGAGCGATTTCCACGATTGGGAGTCATATCGCTCAATTCGTGTCTTTTCATCGAGGACGCTCTCGTTTATCGATGAACTACTGAGAACTCTCTCGTTCTCAGTGAACACTGTTGCTGACCTTATGTCGGCTACACACTCGTCGTCAGCGACGAGTACGCAGATCTGCTTGACTTTGCCACTACGCAGATCACGCAAGAACATTTTATGTTCGAGCGTTGGCAACTGAGTGATCTCCGAAGTCAACGTCGGAGGCGCAATCAGATCAAGTGTATGAGCGCCTACACTTGATCTGTTATTGACTATGACATTCAATGTCTCTGTCATTTCCTGGGGACTTATTCCCTCAGGCCTCGAAGGACTTATTCCTTCGGCTTCCCGGGGACTTATTCCCGCGGGTTTCGGGGAACTTATTTTCGCCGTATTGGCAATATCGGGACTTATTCCCTTTACTTCCTTTAGCTGTGGTTGCGCAACCACAGCGAGATCCTCTACGAAAGACTCTCCAGTCGATCTAGGATTATCGTTTCGCTTTACCTGAGCGATCGATTGTTTCTCTTCTAGATGTTCCCCGCTAGGGATACATCTTTGTCCCGGTCTACTCGACTTATTCGAGTGGTGGACCTTCGGCGCAGCCTGTGTTTCCTCACAGCCGCCGGAACTTTGCTCCGAAGTGTAACCGTTTGTTACACTAAGGTTTCGTGCAGTCTTACTAACGACCGTACCACAAGTGAGGCCATCGCACTCACTCGTAGTACATCCACACGCTTGTGGACGCTCCAAAACGTTCATGAGATGGCCATCTGATGAACAAGCGGCAGGCATCATTAATGTTCGATGTTGCCAGTTTACCCGTGGTTCGTACCTTCTGAGCCACGGTATTCCAAGGATGACATCAAATTTGTCATCCAAATCCAATACGATAAAGTCATCGTCATATTGGGTATCTTCTAGCGTATAGTGGATCTTCACTATACGCTTCATGACGGTTACGGATGCGCTTGTCGCAAGACGTACCGTCATCCTCGTAGGAGGTGTGTCACATTCGCTGAACTTAAAGTGACCATCTCCTAGCGATTGGCGTTGCACAAAATTGTTGGACGCCCCACAATCGACTAGAGCTCGAAGGGACAACTTATTCGTCACTTCGAGTTTCAAGGTAATGAGTGAGACCTCATTACCTAGAGCAGCAACGCACAACGTTTGTGTGTTGGGAGCAACCTTCATCAAGAGGCCTACAAATTCTCTTGACGTTGCTAGACCAGTAGGGTTCTCCGCACCTACTGATCCTGTCCGTTTTTTGACGGTCCATCCCGTTGTTGCGTCTTTGCACCAACTGCGGACCCTCGTCCCTGCCCCTTTCTCATGGGTGGACGGTCACTACGCCCAGTGTTGCGAGACACTGGACGAGGGGCACTACACTCGTAAGCGTAGTGTCCTGTCTTTTGACATCTATTGAATTTCTGCAACTTCTTGTAGTCTGTAGAGCGATCCTTCTCGCTCTCTACATAACAGAGTTCCATCGTCTCTGGACCTCCGCTGTCATATCGTCTCGGTTGACGATATGATGTCGAGCTGGCGCGAGCCTGTCTCAGACTGAAGTCTTCCTGCTCCGCAATGGAAATGGCTTGTTATAGTGAATATAGTTCAAGTCGGAACAGGTGAGTCTTGACGGGAGCATCCGCAAGACCCTGCATGAACACCGAAACCAACGTGTGTTCATCCACCGGGTCGGAACTTATACAACTCGTAAGATGTCGTATATGTTGTGCGTAAGCGTGCACATCACGCTTACCCTGTTTGAGCTTCAAGAGTTCGGTTCGAGCTCTGAACTCACCTCTAGGCGGTTCAAACGTTTGTCTGAGCCGCGACTTGAAGACTTCCAACGACCCAAACGCATATGGGTCGTGCAACTTGAGCCCCAGTGCCCAAGTCTTGGCACGTCCTGCCAGATTTGATTGGGCAAATGCAACTTGCATATCCCCGTCGTCGATGCGGCGCGCTCTTATGGCGTCA